GCCTTGATTGCTTTGGTTCTGCGGGAACGCAGAGAGTACAAATCCGCCAGCGGGTAGAGAAAGGAAAGGGTGAAGATGAGGAGGAGGGAGAGGGAACCTCGGGGAACCTCCGCGTCCTGGGGTTGGAGAAACCGCGCTGTCCTGGGGCCCAGCGGCGTTTCAGCACCGCGGACAGCGCCTCACTCTCCTTCCATTCTTCATCTCCTGGGAACCTGGAACTTTCAGACCCCGTGTCTGGGTCCATACTGTTTGTTTTGCTGGGATGTCCCCCTTCTCCTCCCGTTTCCAGCTTTTGGCTCTGGGTGTTTCAGAGCCCAGCTCAAATGCCCCTTTCTGGTGACACAGCCGCTGTCTTTCCCTGTCCTCTCTCTAACTGGCTTTGGTCTGGGCTGCTTCTCCAATAGCCAAGGTTGCTAACCAGTGATTGGGGTAAGTGTTGGTTTGATGAGGAAAGCACCTCTCCTTTCTCCTGACACTCCTCAGACCTTAACAGACTTTTTATTCATCTGTCTCTGGTGGAGGTGACAGGTTTTATTCCCACCACGCCGTGGGGAGAAGGGATTTTAGAGGACAGATAGGGATGTGAGAATGGCAGTGTGGCCCGGACTGCCCCCCCCCCCCCGGCTGCGGCTGGCTGGCTGCTGTTGCTTTTGCTGCTGTGTGGGTGAAAACGCCTGAAGCTTCCAGGTGACTTTTTGTAAGCAGTGCCCGACAAAACACCCAGCGTGTGTGAAGAGAACCAGGAGTCCTGCCCGCCCTGGCTCTGCCCGCCCCATTGGGGCTGGAGGGGAGATAACAGCAGGCTTGGAGAAGAAGGAGCCCTCCCCTCCCCCGGGTTTCTCCTCTCCACTCACAAGGCCGCTGGCAGCGGAGACGTGGCGCCTGCCCGGCCCCGAGGGGGCGGTGGGCACCCGCTGCCTCTGTGCCGGGACAGCGGGCCTGCTCCCGGGGAATTTTAAAAGCAGAAAAGATAGGATTCTGATTTGTCGGGCTCCTTTTCTACTTCTTTCTCTTTGTTCCCTTCCTCTCTCCCTTTCTATCTCCTTCTCTCCCTTTCTTGCACTTTTTCATCTAATTTTTATATCACTCTCCTTCTGTCTCCTTCTCACTCTCTTTTCGAATATTCTTTCTCTTTCCTCCCTCTTCCTTCGCCTTCCATCTGCCACCCCGCCTCCTCCCGCTCGGCTAAATGGAATGTGAGCCTGCTGGTGGGTCCCTGGGAGACAGTGAGGAACCGCTCAGGGCTCCCCTGGCCGTGAAGGGTGTGCAGCCCTGAGGGAAGGGGCACGGGAACACAGTCGTGAAGTGTAATGGGAGGGGGGTGTGCAGGGGCCCGTGGGGGCACACCCCGAACTCCCTGCTGAGGGAGAGTGGAATACGACCAGAAAGATCTATTCGCCCCAAACCACCACTGTATCAAAGGTTTGGTGTTTTGCTTTTCCAGCTAACATTTCGTTGCTCACTGCTGGTGGTTCTTAGACATCCCTGGGAAGCGGTTCAGTACCGGAATGATACCCTGTCGGTGGTGTGGGGATACGATTGTAACCAATTTGGGATCCCATTTCCCTGTACCGTTCCTTGCCCTTGCTCGGGATATTTTCCTGGGGACCAGTTCCCAGCCCCACACTTCTAGTCCAGTCCCGAACAGTTTAAGGCCCTTGATACATTTTGCGAAGTTGATCGGCACTTAGTTTTATTGCGGAGGCCCAGCTTTGAGGACAGAGCAGAGGGCGACTTTCCCGGCTTCCCCTCCCGCCTGGTGATTGTACGGCATCTTAGTTCCGAAGCTTCTGTGTGTTTGAGTGCCTCTCAGATGCAAACCCTCTGCTGCGCGTCCACCAGCCCAGATGCCCTCCTACCTCGGCCTGCGAGTCCCTTAGCGCCCCCGTGAGCTGGCGCATGCTTGCCTCCCCAGGTCCCCCACGGAGGCCAGGCTTCAGCTGGAGGAAACAACTCACAGACCCCCAGGCCGGCCAGGTGCCTTCCGTCCCCTGTGCCTCTCTCCTCCTGCTGCCGCTTTCTCTCGTCTCCTTCTGTGTGGGGCTCGTTCTTCCTACTTGGCCAGTCACTGCCAGCCCTACCCCCACGCTGGCTGCAGAGGCCTGGGTGTGCCTCAGTCTCCCCCACTGGCCCGAGAGCCCCTTCAGGGGCTTTTCCCTGCACAGGCCTTTCTTAAACAACACCTGTTGGGGGTAGTGCCTGCTGCGGAAAGCTGCAAAGGCTAACGAGTGTGCACCTGGGCCTGTGGTTCCTGGGTGCCAGGCCTGTGCCGAGCTCCTGACACCCCAGGGGCTTCTCCCAGCCGTCCCGCGGGACAGGGCCGCCTGTCTCCATCCTGTGGACATGGTCACGGAGGCCAGCTGAGGAGTGGAGCCTGCATCTGTCTGACTCTGAACGCTTTGGTCTCACACAGCGCCAGTGCGAGGACAAGAGCCACGCTGATCTCAGTTCTCCTTAGGTCCCTGCGGTTGCTGTGGGAGGAGCTGGCAGGCCGCGGCGTGCCCTCGCTGTGAGGTTTTTGTAGAATTTTTAGTGAGCTATTTTATTTTCTTCAAAGTCCTTAGCAGTAGTTTTCACACACAGCTTGTCATTGTTCATCTGTGTCGGTGCCCTCTGAGAGGGAGGGTTATCTTCTTCTTTTAAATGTGTGACTTCTATCAAATTATTACCATTTTATGTCTCATAAAATTGACTCTTTCTGGTGTACAGTCTTGTGAGTTCTTACACTTGCATTTCCTGCATGAGGAGAAGGAGCCCTAGGCCCTGGCCAGGGGGCTCGGTGGGTTAGAGCGTCGCCCCCGTGCGCCGAGGCTGTGGGTTCAGTCCCCGGTCAGGGCACACACAGGAATCAACTAATGAGTGCGTGAGTAAGTGGGACAGCAAAGCAGTTTGTCTCTCTCTCTTTATCCCCTCCTCTCTCTAAAATCAGTAATTAAGAAAAAAGACAAAAAGAAAGAAAAGAGAAAAGGAGCCCTAGAGAGAGAGACCCTTAGATCGCAGACCCTGGTTTTTTCTGAATGGACTCTGATTATGGGCCGCTGTGGAATCCGGAGTTTGGAAACGTAAAATGTGACAGAAGCGCGCTGGGCGGAGCAGCTGCTGGAGAGGAAGTTAGGGAACCTTGGGTGCGCCCTGCGCCCTGGTTGGCTGTGTGAACTTGGGCGGCCTCCCGACCCTGAGCCCCGTTTCCCCCGAGGTCGGGGCGGGGCTGGCGTGCTGCGAGGCGTGTTCCGTGCTGACAGCGGCGTCTGCCTCCAACACGCGTGTCCTAAGATGTCTCCTGCGGAGACGTCTCCTGGTTAGATTTCCCACCAAACACAAGGACCTGTGTTTGGAAGGGATGTGAACTCGGTGCCCCTTGGGAGCGTTCGCACCACAGGTCAGGAGAGCAGAGGGTCTAGGGTTTCCCTCAAAAGACAGTCTCGCTTCCGTTTTACCCAGAATTTTCTAAACTCACTCCACCTAGGAATCCCCTCGGGGGGGACACTACCCGTGGGACCCCTGGGGCCTCAGGTTCCAAGGCACGTGGCTTGTGCCAGTTAAAAGGCATAAGCACTGCTGATTTTAAGAAAGAACATGAGAAAGTCACATAAGCTCTTGCTTTACTAGGGGCTTATTCTCTCAAGAAACACGCTGGCCCCTGAGAAGTCCAGGAGCGTGGACCCGTCTGCAGGAGCTGCCCACAGTATCGGTGGTGGCTGGGGAGGGGGCGGATTTCAACACGAGCTCCACCATCTGGTTCTGGGAAGAGCAGAGCAGGGTGGGGCTGATCTTCTGGCTCACAGCACATTTAATACCAGGTTTCTGGCTGAGCCTGGAATCCCTCTATTAAACATGACAAGGCAGACAGCTGCTTGCGGGAGGCCGTGTCCCGGAAGCCGCCCACCAGCTAGCGGCTGGTGACTCCCAGCTCCTGGCTCTCCAGTGCCGGGAATCTGCGCCCCGGCTGTCTCTGCGTCTGGCTGCGCACGGCCTGTCCCTCCTCTTCCCTCTGGTCCTGGAGCACCTCCTGAGGGTGTTGTCTGAGGGGGAGTGAGCACGTCTTGGCTGGTCTGTCCAAGGGATAAGAGGCTGGTGTTGAGCTTCTAGCCCCTTCCTCCAAAGATCCTCCTGCTGGGGAACAGGACATGCTGGTTCACAGTTCTCTTTGAATCATAGCTTATAGTTCTTGGTCTTGTTGCTGTGATGGCTTTTCTCTCCATCTTCACCCATCCATCCTTCAAGGCATCCATCCATCTATCCATCCATCCATCCATCCATTTACTCATCCATCCACTCACCTACCCACCCAGTCATCCATCCATCCATCCATCCATCCATCCATCCATCCATCCATCCACCCACCCACCCATCCATTCATCCCTTTATTCATCCATCCAGCCAGCCATTCTTTCATCCATCGATCTACCCACTGACCCACGCACCCAGCCAGCCAGGCTGTGTCCAAGGTATAGTAGGTAGTAGGTGCAGCTGTGAATATAGTGGATGAAACCTCTGCCCCATGGAGCCGACAGTCTCATAAGGACAACTGCAGAGCACAACTCCAGGTGCCGCCATCCATCCGTCCACATGTATGTGGTTGGTTCCCTAGGAGTTGCTTGTCTCCTCCAGTGGGGGGACACATCGCAGCTCTGATGTCAGTGGGGCAAGTCGCACTTCAGACAAACATGTAAACATGTAGTATGTCAGACGTACTGCAGGAAGCTCTGTGTGAGCAGAAGGGGGGAAGGGCCGTGGGGCTGCTGGCCGGGCGGGGGGACGTGGCGTTCCAAACAGGCAGCCCAGGGGAGGGCCCTCAGCAGGGGCCCTGAGCAGAGGCCCAAAGCAGGTGAGACAGTGAATTCTCCCAAGATTGCGAGACTCCAGACAAGTCGGGCCTCGCATTTTTATGCCAGGTGTTACTTGTGCAAAAATATGGGAGTAATTTTTATTGAAAGTAAGAAAGGAAAAAAACCCTGGCTTTTCCCCAGTGACGCTCGACCCTTTGCTTGGCTCTGCAGAGTGACCGGCTGCTCATCAAAGGCGGGCGCGTCATCAATGACGACCAGTCCTTCTACGCTGACGTCTACCTGGAAGATGGACTCATCAAGTGGGTTCACCCAGCAGGCCTTCCAGGAAGCCCGCCTCTCGGGGCGGCCCGGGCCTGGCGGGAGTGGAAGGCTGGGGCCCTGGCCCAGAGTGACCGTGCTGTGTCCATGTGAACATGAGAGAGGGTTGGGGACGTGGGGGGAGGTTTAGACTGCGGGTGGAGGAGGGGAGGGACTCGCGTTTCCGAAGAGCCCCCAGCCCCAAGCTCGGTGCTTGGCCACAGCCCTCCTGCGGGCCATGGGGCTCACACGGTGGCTGTAACGCACACGCCGGTCCCTGCTCTGTTGCGTGGGAGTGGCGGGCAGGAGCCGAAATCTCTCCCCATGTCACGGAGCCAGTAGTCAGGGCAGTGTGTGGACTCCAGCCTTGCACCCCTGCCAAAATTCACAGCTCTTCCTCCCTCCTGCCCGGAATTTCCAGACCTGGGCTGAGGGGCCGGGAGTGTGAGGAGTGTTCAGCTCACGGACTGAGCCTTGGCACTTGCAGGAAAGCGGGGTGTGGGAGCCGAAGCCTTCCTTCACTCTCTCCCCGTGGGCTCCCTGTCCAGCCCTGGGGGGTGACGTCCAGGCTTAGCCTGCTCGGGCTGCCTGACCAGAGCACCCCGGGCTGGGCCGCTGAGACCACAGACGTTGGTTTCTCAGCTCTGAGGCTGCCAGTCCGGGATGTCGGCGGCAGGGTTGGATTCTTCGGAGACCTCTGACCTTGGCTTGGGACAGCCCTCTCCTCCCTGCGTCCTCACGTGGCCTTTCTCCTGAGCACGTGCACTGCAGGTGTCTCTTCCTCTTAGGATGAGGACAACAGTCCTGTTGGATCAGGCCCACCCTGGTGGCCGCATTTTAACCTAGTCACTTTTGAAGGCCCCATGTCCAGTATGGTCATGGGCTGAGGTTCTGGGGTTAGGGCCTCAGCATATGAGTTTCGGGGAGGTCACAGTTCAGCCCACAGCACTGCCTCCGAAAGCTCTCAGGGCAAAAGGGACTTTTCATTCTGCCCTGCTGCAAACACTGTCCTCTGTGTCCCTGAGCCAGTTGCCAAAAGCATGTGACATACTCCAGAGAGCTGTTTGGAAAACGCTTTCCCACTGATGCTGATGCTGATCTCACCTCCATTAGAATCTGCTCTGCTGCCACCTCCCCCTGGAAGCCTTCTCAGATTAGCAGGCTGATGAAGCAGCCTACCTTGTGCTCCCTACCCCTCTGCCGCCAGTTTGTAACCACCTGCCCCTTGAGGGCAGGCAGGGACCTGCCTGAGTCATCTCTGTCCCACCAGTGCCCTGCATAGGACCTGGCTCAGAAATGTTTCCCGGACGGGTCTGAAGCTACACAGCTGGCTGTCGTGTCCTTTCCCATTTAAGAACCAACGCCGTCTCTGTTGTTTGTCTCCAGACAAATAGGAGAGAACTTAATTGTTCCTGGTGGAGTGAAGATCATCGAGGCCAATGGACGGATGGTCATTCCCGGGGGCATCGATGTCAACACGTACCTGCAGAAGCCTGCCCAGGGGATGACTGCCGCTGACGACTTCTTCCAAGGGACCAGGGCAGCGCTGGCGGGCGGGACCACGATGATCAGTGAGTCGCATCCTGGGGCCTTAGGGATAGAGACTGCGACTCGTCTGTATCACCAGCATCATCAGCAACACACAAGTGCTCTGCGTGCTCAGAGCACTTTGCTCAGAATACAGCTGACTTGTGATTGTCACCACAGCCCAGCCATCATGTGCCTCTGGTGGCCCGCACGGTGGTTTTAGAGGCAATACAGGCACTGGACATGTTATAGTATTTTAATGCACATTGAGATCCCATCACATAGCACCTCAGGACTGTTATCGCATAGGCTGAGATTGGAGTCGGAATTCAGCCTTTTAGAAACTGAAGCGATTTAAGGAAAGTATTACGTGAAGGCGATATGGATTATAGGGGGATAAAGCAGAAGGTTCCTAAACACGGTGTGCCGATGGCTAAAGTTTTGGAACATGTGACGTGGGTATTATTAGGACATGTGAGTGAGCAGAGGCTCAGAGAGGTGAGGTACCTTCTTAGGTTACACAGCAGGGAAGCAGTGGTATCAGTCAGTATTGCTCCATAGTGCTGCGTAACAAAGAGTCCCCACCCCCCAGACACGGTGTGGAGCAGTGGGAGCCAGTTCAGACTCTGCCTTGGACAAGACTCTGGGCATTTTGCCTGACTCTGGTTACTGGGTGACCTCGGACAAGTTCCTAACCCTCTTTGAGCCTCAGTTTCTTCATCTAAAAAATGGGGATATTCATACTCATGTCACAGGATGGTTGTGAGGATTTCATGAGGTAATTTATGTAAAGCCTCTGGCACAGAATCTGATGATTAATAAGCATTTGATAAATAGTTGTGATGCTGCTGAAGATGACAATGACAGTAACAGCGGTGGTGACAATGGTGGTGGTGAAGACTAAAGATGGTGGTGGCAGTGTCCCTGCTGATGATTGTGATTTGATGGTGACAGTGATGCTGGTGGTGATGCTGGTGGTGATGCTGGTGGGTGGTGATGATGATGATGGTGGCTCTGAGGCTACCATTGGAGCAACTTGGGTCCTAAACATCTTGGAATGTGACACATTTTTCTGTCCCAGTTGACCATGTGGTCCCGGAACCTGGGTCCAGCCTGCTGACCGCGTTCGAGAAATGGCACGAAGCAGCGGACACCAAATCGTGCTGCGACTACTCCCTGCACGTGGACATCACAAGCTGGTACGACGGCATTCGGGAGGAGCTGGAGGTGCTGGTGCAGGACAAAGGTCAGTTAGAGCCCCAGGTGGGGGCTCGGTTCTGGAACCCCCGTTTCTTTGGTGGATCTGCTTGTGTGGAGTTAAAGTCCTTCATCTGCCTCTGCCATGAGCCCGACCGTGGGCTGCGATACACAGTGGGAAAGCAGGTCCTGGGAGGCCCCTGTTCACAGAAGAAAGCCCGAGCTCATGACCTTGGCACGTGGGGATCTAGCTGCACCTGTCTTTCTCTGCCATCAACTCTCTGGGTTTCTTACTAGTAATGCACACGCTGAATCTTGGAGTGTGTGCCTGCATGTCCTGTTTCCATATATGCACACTCACTCACACGTGTGATTTTTACATGAATGGGGTAATAATATGCACATTATTCTGCATTATGCCTTTTTCACCCAATAAAATGTCGTTGACAACCACACCTCTCCACTGAGCAGCGGTGTGACCCAGGGTCAGTCATTCCACTTCTCTGCCTCAGTTTCCCCACCTGGAAACTGGTTGTTCCTTCAGCACTCCGGTGCTTGTTGTCCTGGGTGCCGTCCCCGAAACCCCGCTAGCCTCTGCTCATGCTCTTCCCTGGAATGCCCTTTCTTCTGCTCCGATGCCCAGCTCGGCCGTCACCTTCCCCAGTTTCCTGGGCAGAACTGCCTCCTCTCTGGAATATCCATCACAGGTCACTTGGACTTCTCTCGAGGCACCTTTTCTGCTGTCCTTGGGCGACAGGACTGGGGTCGTCTGTCTGGCTCGTCCGCTAACTGCTGAGCTCTGTGAGGGAGGGGGCTGTGTCCACGCAGCGCTGTCTGCCCCTCCGGCTCGCCTCTGCTGGGGCTCACGCCAGGTGTCTCTGCACTGTGTGGACACTTCACAGTGTACGTCACATCGAACGGGGCGAACCGGACTGGAGACACACGGAAACACAGAGCGAGAGAGCAGGAGGGCCAGGACATGGGCGGTCCTGGGAGGGGCAGTGCCGGAGACCGAGGAGGGCCCTCTGATGAGAGCGGTGCTTCAGGGAGAGCTGGGGGTGTTTTCAGTTTTTAAAATAGGTACGCTGCCCTGGCCAGTGGCTCAGCTGTTCGGAGCGTCGTCCTGTGGGCCAGAATCATCCCAGTCAGGGTCCCCAGCTAGGCTGTGGGTTTGATCTCCGGTCTGGGTGCTGATGGGATGCAGCTGATTGGTGCTTCTCTCTCCCCTGCCTCTGTCTCCTCCTTCCTCCTTCTCCTCCCCCTCTTCCTCTCCCTTCCTCTCTAATGTCAATGAACATATCTATCCTCAGGTGAGGATTTAAAAAATAGATATGCTGTGTTTTCTCATTATAAAAGTACCATTACCATAATACAAAAAAGTCAGAAAATCAAGCGAAGGAAACGCATTTTTTCCTCTGGCCCTCTTCCCATCCCCACTTATATTAGTGTTGTGGTTATTACCTCCCGTTCTCTGCCCATTTGGACGAGTTTCTCCTTATATAGTCATACGACAGCAGCTCCTTGGAACCCTCCTCTTTTTACTTCGCATGTTGTGAGTGATCATTACTCTTCATTAATAACTTTTCAGTAGCTGATAGCGGTTGATTTGCTCAGCTGTTTTGTTTAATTGGGCACTTGGGATTTCCGTTCGCTGTACTGTAAGCTGTGTTGTGGTGAACCTCTTCGCATATAAACATCACTGGTTATTTCCCTCGATCTCCAGAAGTGAAATTATGATTGTTTCAGGATCGTGGCACTGAGCGCCAAATGGCCTTCCTGAAAGGTGTGCCCACCCGCACGCCCCAGCAGGCACGTCTCTGGCTCCCCGCGTGTTCGCGCCAGTGGGAGTCCATGCTGATTGGATGGGGACGAGTCAGTCCACCGCCCCGTGTGCGTGTTCTTTCAGTGCTCACCCCGTGGAGCCCTTCGTGAGCTGCGTGTTCTTGGCCCACGCGTGGGCTGCGGTTTTGTGTGTCCCAGAGCTCCAGCAGGGAGGACCCGCCCCTCCGGCGCGGTCCCTGCGGACCACACTCTTACTGTGCCCGGCACCGCCGTGCGAGGAGGTTCACGGGGCTGCGCTGGGGTCCTCCCTGTCGACAGCGTCTCTTCCGCGGTTTCAGTTACTGGCGGTCAACTAGGGTCCGAAAATATGAAGTGGAAAATGGCAGAAATGAACAATTTTCAGTGTCCAGCGGTGCAGCGAAGTCCTGCCCGCCCCGCCCCAGACCTGAGCCCTCACTTGCCACACCTCACCGGCCCATCCGGCACTCGGTGATCCCATCAGCTGTCGCTGTATCGCAAGGCTGCGATCTAGTCCAGTCGCCTAGCTTTACTTGACAATGGCCCCCAGGTGCCAGAGTAGTGATGCTGGCCATGTGGACATCAGCATGGCCACCAGGTGCTTCCTCTGTGTGAAAAAGTGGACGTTCTTGCCTAAATAAGGAGAGAACAGCGTTTGCTGAGGTTGCTCAGATCTCCGGTAAACGAATCTCCTATCCGTGGGATTGTGGAGAAGGAAAAAGAAACCCGTGCTGGTTCTGTTGTCCTCAAGCAGCAGTCACAGCCACGTGCACAGGTGCTTGGCGAGGGTGGAAGAGGTGTCACATCTGTGGGCAGGGACACAGACAAGAGCCCACACCCACGTGACGTCCATCACAGTTTACTCTCGCGGTTGTTCTATTTTATCGTTAGTTACTGTCAGTCTCTTACTGCGCCTGACGAATTAAACTCTATCATAGGTATGTACACATAGGAAAACTCGTAGTATATATAGGGTTTGGTACTGTCCACGGTTTCGGGCGTTCTTGGAGGGCCGTGGGGGGCCCTCACGGGTAAGAGGGGGATGACTGGATCTTCCTTTCCTCACCTAATGTTGAGTCCTGAGCACTTTTCCTTGGCACCAGGGGCTTCAGCGCATCAGCTTTGACAGCCTAGCTACGGGGTCGGGGGGATACGCCGGGGCTGCACCCCATTATGAGAGAGCTGCAGCCCTGGCGGGGGGTTCGGGGGGGTCGCGTTGGGTGCGTCGCACTGGGAGAGGGCAGAGAGCTGTGTTCTTCCCTTGACCAGAATCTTGTAAGGAAAAGGCTTGGTGAGGTTTTCGGTGCACTCATGGGTTTTAAGTGTCTAATTAGCATCGCAAAGTACTTGTATTGGTTGAAGTTGCCGAGTTCGTACACATTTACTAAAACTGTGGAAGCACATGAAGTAAAGCTGATAATGTGTTTTTCCTTCCTGCTTGTGATGCACACGCTGAATCTTGGAGTGTGTGCCTGCATGTCCTGTTTCATATATGCACACTCACTCACACGTGTGATTTTTACATGAATGGGGTTATAATATGCACACTATTCTGCATTATGCCTTCTTCACCCAGTAAAATGCCATCGACAACCACACCTGTCCACTGAGCAGTGGTGTGACCCGGGGTCAGTCATTCCACTTCTCTGCCTCAGTTTCCCCTTCTGGAAACTGGTTGTTCCTTCAGCCCTGCTGGCCTGTGGTGAGGATTCTGTATTATCGGTTATTAATGTATTAGCATCACATGTCACTTTTTGTGGCAGTACTGGGTTGATCTGTCACCAGTCAGTGAATTTTTACAGGCTGTGTTGGCAGGGCCCCAGGGAGGCAGGAAGTGGCTGTGTGTCCGTTTCCCGTGGCCCCTGGAACAAAACCCACCACCTCCAGGTTTAAAACAACACGAGTGACCGACTGGCAGTCAGACGTGGGTCTCGGGGCCATGGGTCTCTAGCGGTGGGCCGGGGGAGTTCTTCTGGGGGTTCCGGGGAAGGACCCTTGCCTTTCCGAGCTCTGCAACCCCCTGCATCCTTGGCCCGGGCCCTGCGGCCTCCCTGTCGTCACATCTCCCTCTCGGACCCTGGTGACTACATCGGGCTCACCCCAAAACTCCAGGATGGCCCCTCGTCTTGGGGCCCTTAATCTCTGCCTGGGAGGGACATATTCACAGGTTCTGGGGGTCAGGGAGCAGGCATCTTTAGGGGACCTGCCTCCCACGGAGGGCTCTCAGGATTGGCTGCGGGATGCTCTGGCCCTGGACGCCCTTCCCATCTGCCCTGAGGAAGGACAGGCCAGGGCCCGTCATACTGCAGTCAGCCAGGCGGCGGGCGTGGTCCTCTGTGAAGGGCGTGAACTTGAGGTCAGCCGTCATCCTTGTCCTCTGGGAGCGTCAGTCAGTGGTTTGGTGACAGCTGAGGGTCCTCCGCCTGCAACTCTCCCTGCAGCTGGGGTGGGGGCCTCGGGGCTCAGCACAGCACCCCCTGCAGGCCGTTTCAGTTGTTCACTGGGGGAGAAGGGGCACCTCCCTTGGGGCGCCATGCTCGCCGGGGTGGGCCCTTCTGTGAGCAGAGGCTGGTCATGGACGTGGGGCACTCCCCGCCCTCCATCTGGTGGGGGCTGTCGGAGGTGGTGGGTGGGGGACGGTGGTGAAGGGGGGCTTCCAGGAGCGTAGGCCCGGCCCCGCGGCTGCACCGACCTGTGCCAGGTGGTTGCTGGCTCTGTCTCTCACCTTTTCCTCTAATAAAACTGGGCAGAGTTACCATCCCCCCCCACCCCGTCTCTCTCGAGTGCACAGTGAAAAGACCGTCACAGCCTCACAGAAGCAGCAGGACGTGTAGAAAGCTCTCAGCCATCTGGCGGCCTGGGATCAAATCCTGCCCTCGAGCTTCCTGGCCGAGGGGCACTGGCCAGCCGCCCCGCTGGCCTCTGAGGCTCTCAGTGGCTCCTCTGCACTCACAGCGTCAGGGCCCTGGCAGGAGATGCGCCGTCTAGGCTCAGTGTTGATTCTCCAGCCGAAAGAGGGAAGCAACCCCAAGTGTCTGTTGGTGGGCGAAAGGGCACCCAGAGGTGGGCGCTCGCCACAGTGGGCATCACTCGACCTTGAAGAGAAGGGGCTTTCTGTCCCACGCCGCACGGTGGATAAGCCTGGAGGGCCTGCTCAGGGAAATGGCCCGGCGTGAAGGAACAGACACAGTACGGTGGCACTCCAGGTCCCTGGAGGTGTCAGATTCGGACAGAGAGCAGAGTGGTGGG